AAATGCCTTTTAAATGTGTGTATATATTTATATATGTAAAACATATATATATATATGTAATTTACACACATGGTAATTTAAAAAATAGTACTTTGTACCGTAACATATTCATCAAATAAAATTTAATTTGTTACCATCATAATCTTTTGAAAAATTCTTACATTTTTAGGTACCTTTAACATGGACAACTTTTATAATGCACAAACAAAAATAAAATTCTAAAACATTTATATAAAATATATATTTTCATTTAAAGTTATAAAACTAAAGTAAATCACACGCTCAACTAAAAGTTGTCCATAAATGATTCAGAGATTCTTCTAGTATGAGAAATATGGTTTTATATTGAATATTAGACTAGGCAAGAAAATATTCAAATGTTAATCATTTATTTTTCTTAGCAGTGGCTTCAATTTCAAATCATCTTTTTTCATTGCCGTATCTTTTTAAAACAATATATATATTTTATTGATTTTTTACAGAGAGGAAGGGAGAGGGATAGTTAGAAACATCGATGATAGAGCAACATCGATCAGCTGCCTCCTGCATACCCACTACTGGGGATTTGCCCACAACCAAGGTACATGCCCTTGACTGGAATCGAACCTGGGACCTTTCAGTCCACAGGCTGACGCTCTGTCCACTGAGCCAAACCGGTCACAGCGATTGCCGTATCTTGAGAAAGTGGTTTGTACACTAGAGTAAAGTTTTCTTTGTGGCAGGAAATTATTCCTAATAAATTTAAATCGAAGTATTTCAGTACAGACAGAGGTCAAATGTAAGAGAGAGTCTAAGTAATTTTCCAGAGAACCAGGGCAGGAAACTGAATAAAGGTGATAGGTTTGTGATATTTCTAAGTACCCATATTTAACTAGTTTTACTTCAACTAAGTTAATTAACTATACATTTAACTTATTAGAGGTTCTTAAGAAACAGCCCAATTTCAGTCAGGAATTGTGTCTACAGAATAGGCTTCTTCTACATAGTCAGTTGCATCAGGCATGCTGATAGGTTGATTATTAAACAGCTAGAATAACTGAATTTATATGGCACAGTCTGCCTAAACATTTGGAAAGAAATGGCTTGAGTGTTGACCAACAAGTTGTTAAAGATTGTGCTCACAGACACAGACAACTGTATGGTGATTACCAGAGGAAAAGAGGGGGAGAGGGAGGCAGAAGAGAGTCAAGAGGGGATAAATGGTGACTGAAGGAGGTTTGACTGAGTGGTGAACACATAATACAATATACAGATTATATATTATAGAATTGTACCCCTGAAACCTACATAATTTCACCCTAATAAATTCAATACAACTGAATGTCATCCCAATAAATTCAATAAAAAAATTTTTTAAAGGATAAAAAAGACTGTGCTCATATAACTTCTTTGAATGGTTCTATAGTGAATGAAACTGATACATAAAAATAACTAAATTTCCTTTGATGACATGGGCACTTATCAAAAAATCTCTGAGTTTTAACAATCTAAACAACCAAAAAGCTACAAATATTCTAACATTTGGCAAAAGGAGGATGGAAGGAAATATTAAATAGGTTTCATGGCACCCAAACTTTGTTAACTTCACTATAATAACAGATGTGAAAATGCAAACAGAACCACCAGGTCTCTGTGAAAGAAGCAGATGAAGATCTCTAGCACCATTGAGAGGGGAACTAAAAGGGAAATAAATTTGGTAAGAAATACAAGTAACACTAGCAGATGCATATTTAGATAATATAAATCTATCACATGGCACTATCATATGTGCTCTGATGAGGGCACCTATCATCATTCCAGGCAAAAGTTATCTTTTTATTTAACTTTTACACTTCTCTTGCTAAAAGGGAAATTTTCTTATAAAAATGAAAAACAAAAAACCATCTTTAACATAATCTTAAATATGAATGCATTTTAAAATGTGTAAATTAATATATACAATTGATACTATGAAGTGGTGGGGTACTTTCAGTAGTTTCCCACTATTTCCAGTTGTTATAATTTGCTGGGAGCCGGTCCATCCTTGCTGCTTGACACAGTCGCTGCAGGGAAGAAACATCTGCACAGCATATGTTTCAGGGGACCTGGCATATATGGCATGCTGTTCTTAATAGGTTTGCTCACCTTCTTGGCACTATGTGTTTTAACCAAGGTCACCTCTCTGAGAAAGGTTGTTTCCCCAGGTAGGGATTTTCCCCTGAAGTTAGGGAGGGAATAAAACCCCTTAACTAAGTGCCAGGCGGGTAATTAATCACTTTAACTACGAACAATCATGCTTAAGCTACATAATCTTTACTCCCTGGAATAGAGATAAGAAACACCCTAACGTGTGGAATAGAGATTGATAGGATTGGAATCAACTGGTATAAATACAGATGCAACAAGACAACAGGCCACAGAACCTAGACACAGAACCTACACAGAACCTAGGACAGAGGAACTTCGCTGGAGAGAACATGGCAACAGAACCTGACTAGAACCTGGTGACTGAACCTGGCTGGAGAAGCTGGAGAACCTGGCTGGAGGACCTAGCAAGAGAACATGGACACAGAACTTGGCTGGAGATCCGGATCAGAACTTGGCTAGAGATCCTGGCTAGGCTGCTTATCAACTGAACGCTGTCTCTGTGTCATTCCTTCTTCGCCGACTCCGTCCACACCTTTGGGGACCCCTGGACCTGCTGGGGTTGGACCCCAGCAATAATTCTGTTATTTTATTTTTAATATTAGTTTAATTTACCAACTAATATAATAGAAATCATGCATCAAATTTATGTAATGGATAACTGAAGGAGAAATGCCACTTTTTCATACTGTATATAGAAAAACGTCAAATAATAAATTTACCCTGTTAATGTTTGCACCTGTATTCACATGACCTGGAATAATCAATTCAGTTAACTTAGTAACAGCACTAATAAATCTAGGTAACACATTTCCAGTTGATAAGTATGTTTAACAGGGACCCAGAAATCAGTGTGAAGGTAAACAGAAACGCCTGGAGAAAATAAAGTAGGGGAAGGATAAGGCTGGAGACATGGTATGCTATCATGAGAGGGTGGATGAAACAAAAATGGGAAAATACTCTTTCTCTTCATTTTTCAGTTTTACTAAGGCCTTGATAGTGGCAAGTACTTCCTTTCCCACTGCAAATGACTTTTTGGGTGACCCTTCTCAGGAGCACTATAAAGTACTGGAATCTATTTTTATGTTATGGGAAAGATAGTTATTTTTACATCTAGGACATTTTACAATTCCTTTGTGAATATTATGATTGTAAAGCTGGGAGGAAATTGCTTAATCTATGTAACCACTTATTTTATGGATAGGTGAACTGAGGTGCAAAAAGGGTATCATTTAGTTTATAATCCACATAAATATATTGGGACTAAAAGGTTTAGACATGCCATATCTATTGTTAGTACCTATTGTTAAGAAAACAAGAGACAAATATACATAAGAAATAATCCAAAAACACAAAGAAAAGGTTACAAAAAAGGAACTCTCCACTGAGAATAGCTACTGTTCTGATGTTAGTAAGAAAAAGTGAGCTAGAAGTAAAGAACTTCAAAGAATGGATTAGGGAAAAGGCACTAAATGACGAAAGTGTAAACACGTAATCGTTACAAACAGAAAGGTATGTATAAAGTACTTACCAAGTACATGTTACATCTTGAAAATCCATAAAATGAAAAATGTAAAGTTTCTCATATTATTATTTTCTAACAAATTTGTTTCTACCTCTATTTCATTATAAGAACAAAGTATATGGTAAGTTAAAAAGAGATGCTTGTGATTATTTCAAATCCCCAGGCTCCTTTTACATAGGACATCTAGAAAATCAATCCCACTGCTACTTTAGCTAGGCAGTTCTAAATGACTACAGTCTTTTTATAAGCTTAATTGAGGTGAAAATAGAAAGCTCAGGTGACAGAGTTTGATGATTTCAAATTCTACAAGCTTTCTATGACCATTTCTGTGACATCATTTCACTACATTAAAATATATTGTGTCAAAATAATTGTATTTATTAAATTCTAAAAACTTGAAAACTCAAAAATATGTGTGTTCCTAAGATGCTATTGGCTTATAGCAATTATCAGAGCCAACACAAATATTTTTCATTGGAAATACCTAGATCCGTGGTCAGCAAACTGCGGCTCGTGAGCCACATGTGGCTCTTTGGCTCCTTAAGTGTGGGTTTTCCACAAAATACCGCTATACTCAAGGGGCCAAAGAGCCTCGTGGCTCGCGAGCTGCGGTTTGCCGAGCGACAAGTTTGCCGACCACTGACCTAGATCATTGATCCCCTAATTATCTACACCACTGTCTCTTTGGTAGAATAAAAAATGGCACATGGGTAAACATTTTTAATTTACTTTTAAAGAGTGGATTTTAATATAACTTAGAAAAAATACGTATCATTTTCTCTTTTAAAAGTGAATCAACTAAAAAATATGTTAAATAAACAGTATAGGTGGCATGAGAATATGGCCAAATTTAAATGTCTAAGGTGTGGGAAATGTTGCCCTTCATAAAGTAACTTCTCTGGCAATTAGCTAGTATAAATATTACTGTTGAAAGATGTGAAATTTCCAAACAAATGATATTTTACTCTGTATATTACTTTTTGGTTTTTATCTCATAAAAAGCCAGTGTAAATCAAAATAATGTAAAAGTAAGTTCTTTGGGCAGAAATTTAAAACATTTTACTGAATATCATTGAAGAAAACCTATTAAAGTTAGTATTAATGAGTGAGAATCCCCTCTCTTTTCTCCTACTGTTAATGAAAACTTCCAAATTCATATAATTGTGGAGGGCATATCAGGAACATTCTGCATAATAGCACACATACTACATTCTGGATAAATACCACAGTACTAAACCTAACACTTTCTTGTCCCAGCCCAGTCTGTGTCGTTTTTTTCTCCCTATATTGAAAAATGTCAATAGTGGCTACCAAGAGGCTAAATTAAACAAATAAAAACTCCAATACTTACTGTCGCTGGGGAGGCCCGAGTGGTATGCGTCACGGAGTGACCAGAATTCTCCATTGAATTGCCGATCAGATAGGTTCCCCCGGAGCTGCTGATGAGTTGTCCTCCCGTGACGCCCATCTGAATCCCACCAGTGCCCACCATACTGTGGGATGAGACCACGGTAGTCACCTGTGCAGAACTCCCTTGCGTATCAAAGTAATTCCCTCCAGTGTTTTGGCTGTACATCTGCGTTTCTGTGTAAGGATAAGTTGTTGTTCGGCTTCAGAAGAAGAAGAAAAAAGAAATTTACTAGCTTATTTATATCACTTTATTTCACTTTTTCTAGTGTGTATATATGTTTAAAATATATCCTTTGGAACATGTCAAGTTTTGTATTTTGCATAAAACTTCATTTCCAGAAGTAGTTGTGTTTACTTTCCAACTTAAAGGTACGGTACATGCCTTTAAGTACCTCAACATGTTCTCTGTACTGTAGAACTCTTGCCCTCTACTTGTGTCTACCTCCAGCATATAAATAGGTTCAGGTCTCTTCCCTCCAAAAAGTCTTGCTGAGTGACTTCTTCAATTCCTTATAAAACTTCCTGCAAATCCGTTTTAGAAAAGTTGGGATCTGGCATGAGTTGGGGCTGGTAACTGAACTCCCGATGCTACTTCACATTCCTGGGTGACTTGCAAAAACCCTCCATGACTAAGGAAGCTGGCATGGATATCTGTCTTGCGACCATAAGATCTGGAGCAGTTCACTCACCTTGTACCCTAAGTCCCTATCTACATCTCTCTCTTCCTCTATACTCAAGATTCTCCTTGATGAATTACTACCCTAGCTCTTCACGCTGTCACTTTCCACTTCCTAACAACTGCAGTAAAGCCTCCGCTTTGGCCTTTTGTTGAAACTGCTTTTAATAAGGTCACTTGAGACCAAATCTAAATACCAAGATATAAGGGTTCTGTCAGTCCTTATCTTTGTTGACCAGTCTGCTATATAGCACTGTTGACTACTCCGTGTTGCCCTTTCCCTGCTCTTTCGGTTCCGATTAAGCTTATTTCGTTGATTTATTTTTCATTTCTAGTTGGTCATGACATTTTAACATGACTTTTTCACTTTTTATTTTAAGATAAGTATATGCTCACAAGAGGTTGTAAAAATAGTACAGAGAAATATAAAGTACTTTTACTAAAAATTCAAATATAAAGTTAAAATTCTGTCTGTCATTCTCTTCAACCCACATCTCAGAGCTAGCCACTACTGACGATTTAATGTGTAGATTTTCAGACATTTTTTATGTATACACTGGGTCTCTCTTAATCTCTCTTGTTCCTTAGTTTCTATGACACTTATTTTCCACTATTTACTTTCTCTATCACTGCCTTTAAGAACATGTCAAAGCTCCATTTTTATGGCACTTTAAACAATGACATCTTCTGAGGTCTCTATGTTTAGTTTTTATTCAGACCATATACCATAGGACTATGTAGATGTTCACAGTAAACAATCTTGCATAAGTTGATTTCTCCACTCTCTTTACTTTCTAGTTATACTTAAGAATTTTAAATCTGGGTTTCAAATAGCCACCTGGTTATCTTTATTAGGAAACCTTATGCTATATGGGAGGTCCCATATATAAAACTTAAAAAGGAAATTCCTTCTTTCTCTCCGTTCCTGTGTTCCCTCTCTCCAGCATAGCCACCCTCAGCTTTAGAACTATTGCCTCTTTCCTCAGACTGACAGTAATCACTAAGTCCTACCAATTTCACCTTCTAAATAATTCTCCAACTCTTCTTTCCAGTCTTGTACTTAATGCATTAACTCATAACATTTTGCATTATAATTGCCTTCTAATTGGTTTTTCTGCCTCTAAATCAGGCTCTTTTCCAAACTATTTTCAACTGTGCTGCCAGGGGAGTTTTTCTAAAATGCAAATACAAAAACAAAACTTTTCTTAAAGACCTTTCCAGGATTCTCTCTTGCCCTCAAGGGGAATTCAGAACCCTTGACTGACCTTACAAAACCAGTAGGGCTGGTGCCTACCTAATCTCTGTCCTGGTACTAGCCATGCCCTCAAATGCTTTTTCCACTCACACCATCCTGGCCTTTTTACTGGTCCCCCAAAGAGCCATTTTCTCTTGCTTTTGTTTGTTGCACATCGTTTCCTCTGCCTGGAAGGCCTTTACATTTTTCTTCTACTCTCTTCCTATTTCCTTATCATTCATAAACTCTCAGCTCAAACATCACTTACCTTATCCCCAAATTATTTTTCTGTACCCCTTGCCCTCTCTGGTCACTTTTCATAGGACTGTTATGTGTTGTTCTCTGTATTTTCCTAATGCATTCTCTGTGCATACCTGAATCATAACTCTCAACATAGTTATTGTTGAATTCCTCATGTCTTAATACTCCCATGAAATTATGTTTTATTCCCATCTGTACCCTCAATACTTAACAAGTTTCTGGTACACTGTGAGCACACAAATCAACAGATAAAAATATAATCTGACAAAATAGCCAGTTTCATAAATTTATAAAACATAAAGACTTTTTTTTTGGTTAAAACATGAGAAACTGTTCAAAGATTTGTCTATAGCATTTAAAACAGGTCATTTGAACTCATTATAAATTACACTTGTAAATTTAAATTATAAGCTTTAGTAAAATAATAATAGTGCTCTGAAAGTATTGCACACTGAGTAAGTTGATACATTCTAGCAACAGCCAGTGTAGCAGAAACAGGTAAGATTTTAGTTTTTTTTTTCTTTATTGATTAAGGTATTACATATGTGTCCTTACCCCCCTTTAACCCCACACCCCCCCACTCATGCCCTCACCTCCCTGTTGTCTGTGTCCATTGGTTATGCTTATATGCATGCATACAAGTCCCAACAACACCATAGAGAACATTTTTTAAATAGAGAAAAAAAGCCATTTTAAACACATGTACAGTTCTTCTCTCATCATTGCTCTCTAGCTCCTATTGGGAGTCTCATCTATATATTTCATTACATACTGATAAAACAGTCATGCTGATTTCAAATTTAGGTAAAAAGACAAATGAGGCCACTCTAATTTATGTCCATTGAATATGACAGTGACCCTATCTGACTATACTTAAAATAACACAATCTAGTATAGCCAAGTAAGGTATACAAATTGATACAGGACAATAAGTACTTTGACAGATGGAAGACATAGTGCTGGCATTCATTTTCAGAGTCTTAGCAAAATGCCCAAGCATGCTCCCTAGTAATAAGTTGATTTCAAATATAAAACATAGTAATCACAAATGATAGCTAAAATACTGACCATTTAATATGCAATGGGTACTATTCTATGTGCTTCAGGTATTTACTCATTTAACCTTCATTTCAACTCTATGAGATAGGTGCTATTACAATTCCTTTTGCACAGACAAGGTGAATAGGTTGAATAGCTTTATCCAAGATAAGTATGGGTAAAACATTATTTGGAATATGCACTGAGCCCATACTCTCAAACATTTCTTCTATAAGAAGAACTTAACTTGTTCTGTATGTAAATTATACTTGTGAATGACTATTGGGGAATTGGCTTAAAAGGTGGTACAAGGGCCATATGATTTTCTGTTGCTATTTGGGATTTCCTTACATCTTACTTCACTGTTTACTGGCCCCACACTACTCTCCTCTCTCACCCAGAACAGGACCTGCAGATGCACTTTCCATGGTAAAGAGACAGAAAAGGTGGGACTATTTCAGAGGATACACCATCACACACTTGGAATCAATAAATTTATGATCATGGAAGTTTCTACTCTATCACAAGAGAAACATTTCAAGGAATTTGTAACACTCCACCTTTGGGGCATGACTCCCTTTACAATTAGTTCTCAGTGAAGTAATATTAGTAATGCAAACAAAGGAATCATCCTGATATATAAAAACCCTGGGTCTGTCACATCCACGACCAGGAGGCTCAACCAACCGGAAGTCAGTCTTGCCGTGGCGACCCAGCGCTGACTACTATGGCTGGAGGCATGGTGACCCAGCAGTGACTGCTGAGGGGGCTGTGAATCAGGCTCAGAGAGAGGCCTGAAGAGAGAAGCAGGGTCTAATCCAGCTGTGGGCAAACTATGGCCCACGGGCCGGATCCGGCCCGTTTGAAATGAATAAAACTATTGAAAAAAAAGACTGTACCCTTTTATGTAATGATGTTTACTTTGAATTTATATTAGTTCACACAAACACTCCATCCATGCTTTTGTTCCGGCCCTCTGGTCTAGTTTAAGAACCCATTGTGGCCCTCGAGTCAAAAAGTTTGCCCACCCCTGGTCTAATCCATAGCCTCTGTGGCAGCTGTTGATCAGCACTTGTCTCTCTAGCTCCAGGCCTGGTCAGCAGCCGTGCCTCCATTTCTCTCCAGACCTCCACCCCGCCTTTCTGATCAGGCCCCATTGAAAGACCAAGAGATGCTGACTAGCATAGAAACTGACCATTCAGAACCAAATCTGGGTCAACTGTGAGGAGCCAATGTCTGCCTAGGAGGCGGAGCTTTTGATGCTGACTGGCATAGAAACCAATCAGAACCAAATTGGCCAGCAGGGGAGGGCAGTTGGGGGCGAGATCAGGCCAGCATGAGAGAGCAGTTGGGAGCAACAGTCTGGCAGGGGAGGGCAGTTGGGGGTGATCGGGCTGGCAGGGGAGCAGTTAGGTGTTAATCAGGCCGGCAGGGGAGCGGTTAGGGGAAATCAGTCAGGTAGGCAGGCAAGCGGTTAAGAGCCAGCAGTCCCAGATTGTGAGAGGGATGTCTGACTGCTTGTGGGATCAGGCTTAAACCAGCAGTCGGACATCCACCGAGGGGTCCCAGATTGAAGAGGGTGTAGGCTGGGTTGAGGGACACCTCCCCCAGTGCAAGAATTTAGTGCACTGGGCCTCTAGTAGGTAAATACAATGTAGGTCTGTAGTCCTCAAGAGAGTATACAAATATGGCAGCAAAATGAAATGCAACCTGCTTTTATTTTCATACTTCTCTCTAGTTGGAGATGATTCAAGAGATAGAAAATGAGCAAAGAATAAGCCAAGGGTAAAAGTCACTAAAAAGTATAACTAATTCATATACTGTCCTCATTACTGAGTCATGACCTATGTGACCGGGAAGACTTGGCTATTGCACAAACACACTCTGGGATAAAGACTGGCAATTTCTATGGGAGGGGGAAAAAGACAATTTTATCAGAAAATGAATTTGTCTGTGATGAACAATGTACACTTGCAATGAGAACAGAGGAA